CCCTGTCCTTTTTCTTCATTAAATAGTTAGTGATACTGAATAGTTTCTTTATTTGGCTATGGTCTGCAGTGACTTAAAGTAAATACTATCTGAAAGCTGCTGTTCTTTCTGTTCAATAAATTAGCAGCCTAACACAGAGGTAACCTTGGTAAAGAGATGTTTCCAGAAAAGAAACACTAACAGACACCTGGAGCTGAAGGTAGAGTATCTGGATTTAGAAATGTAACCATGCTCCTCAGCTCCAAAGTGATCCTTAAAGGTACATTATGGCACATCAGCAGTATGGTGCAGTAAAGGTGCCCATGCTTGATGACTTTGGGGGGAGGGAGAGACTAGAGCTTCAGAACTATAACCCCAATACTGCTTTAAATAAAGGGATTCATCCAGTAGCAGACTACTTGTCTGATTAAATAGTTCTGTGCTCCTGTAACAACAGGAGCTATCTGGTAGACGTGGTATTTAATTTAGTTGATTTCCTGAGCTTGGTTATGAAACTACAAAGGTCACTTATGCAATCAGAAATGTTTACAAAACACTGCTTGTTTACTGTACACCTGAATGTTGTGAAGGTACTATCAGGAAAAGGTTAGTCCAGTTGCAGAGATTTAAAAGCCTTTCACCAGAATGTCTATATTATGTATTTAATACACATGTTATGTATTTAATATACTTGATCAAATAATGTGTACGTGCCCTTTAGTTCAGAGACATATCTTTTGTGCAATACAGACTACAGCAATGTGCCTACAAGAATACTAGAAGAGGATTTTTATTCTGGATGTATTTTGTCTAAACCAATATTTTGTTACAGAATGAAATCGTATTATTGTAGGCAAATAATGTGCTAGATAATGCCTCAAGTATTCTAGCTGACTTGATTTCCTTATGAAACTACATTTTAAGTATTTCTACTAAAATATGCTGATTACCCTGAATTGCCTTCTCTGAATTTCTGACTTTGAAAGCCTGTTTAATCCAGGCTGAAGTGTGTTGTGCTACTCCACGGGCATCAAACAGTTACTTATTATAGTCTAACAATTAGGTGATTTTATCAATTAGCCCATTTCTAAAAGGCACTGTTAGCATGTGGAATTTGAGCCAAACTGACTTCCCCATGTTCAGTGAGTTTTCCTTGAATGTCAAATTGCTACTAATTCTCTGAAAAATGTAACACAACTTCACATCCTAGCTGAATGTTTTAGGAAACAGCTACATGGCATTTTCCAAAAGCAACTGCTGTTCTACCCATTTTTTAACTGATACAATTGGAGATTAGGGTAGTGTTAGGTGAAGTTTGACACAAGGACCCCTTTTGTTGGATATGTAGATAAGAGCATTGGTAGCTGTTGAAAACAGCTGCCCCTCAGTCTGAACCAATGAGGACTGAAGTTAAGCATTTGGGGCTTTCACAGTTACCTTTCCATGTTTCAGTATTACCCAAATACACTCTTAAACTCTCTACTGGTAATAACAAAGACAATAATAATACTACACTTTAATAACCCTGATGGAAAGAGATGTAGTCTCTGCCTTCAGTCTTTATCTCTGCTGCAGAAGTCTGCCTAACACAGCTCCAGCACAATCCCCTGAGAGCTCTGCTCTCCTCACTGCTGCAGAAAGAACTGAACACATACATCAGGTACCATAGGAAAGACTGTGCTAAGGATGAGATTAAGATGTAAGGCAAGATTATTTTAAAGTAATCTTCTGGTAAAGCAGACTTTATCTTTCAAAAAATGTTACTTTTTCTCTGGTTGTGTGCAGTCTGCTCTCTTGTTGAGGAAAGTCCATAGAGCTGAGTTCAGCTCTCATCCCAGCCAGCCAAGTAGAACTAGCATTGAAGTGTTCATCCCTTATTTGGGTGAAAAAGGTTGGCTGTGGAACTAAGGACAAAGTGGAAAATATTTGGGGTTTTTTTTTTGTTGAACTGATGGTTCCCAGTCAAGCACTGAGAGTCTAAATGTTGCTCAGAGCCATGCAAGGTTAACAGTTAAAACTGGAGCCAACCAGGAACCCAAAATATGATGCTGCCTGCAGCATAGTGCTCGCTTAATATTGCTTCCTGTGGGGCAGCAGAGAATAGAGGGGCCATGGTGTAATTTGAGGTAATATAAATGACACTGTAAATGCACAAGAAGAGGTACTGAAGCACTTCCTAATTCTCTGACGGTGTGGTTCGCGTGATGGGCCAACAACCTACAGAAGTGTAGTTCTACTAAAGCTTAGTGAACAGAGCTGAGCTCCTGACCCATGGTTGGACCCACGCAGGCAGGTCTTGTGCCCTCCCAAGAGACCAGTTTGGAGGGGTGGGGTGAGGGGGCAGCTGGTGTGGGGCTGGGAATGCAGACGAAGCCCCGGCGTGGCCTCGGAGCCACTGGCGTTACTGGGAGGAGTGCAGGAGGTGTAAAGCTCCATCAGAAGGGTTACAGGCTAGTAACTGAAATTAACTGAAATCTCCTGCCAGTCTCTGGCCATTGATGCTGTCTCAGGGCTTTGTCAGACCACACCCCTCTGTGGTTTTCCTGAGCTGGGCTGAAAACACCTGTAAATAAGTCTGCTCGTAGGAATGCTGACGAACCTTGGCCTGTAGTAGTGTTGGGAGCTGCTACAGCATCCTGCTGCTTTAATGTAATGAACAAATAAAATGCTATGTAATGGTGTGTGCTGCCTTAAAATCTCCTCTGTTGTTCTTTTCCAGCTAGAGTATTCATGTTTGAGGATGAATGTTAAGATGTGCAAATGCAGGCTGTGCTTAGCATGAGGCAATTGTTCATCTTTGTTTTTAAACAAAGTTGTAAGGTGACTATGCAAATGTATTTTATTAAAGGGACACATAAAAGGATCTAGTTTGTCTGTCGTGGTTTTTTTTGTCCATCTGAGGATTTCTTCCCATCTGAATAGCTTGGTATTGGTTATGTTATCTGATTCTGTGATGATGTGACTTGATTTTGCTTTTTGACCTCTGGAAAACTGAATAACAAATTTGTTTTGTTGGAGCAGAGAGAGTATATTGCATTTAGTGATGAGGGGAGACCAGATAAAAGTTGTTAACCATTTTTCAGGGCCTGATGGAAACGAGCTGTTCTACAGCATCAGATTTCTTGGATTAGTTCTCTTCAAGGGTTTCAGTAGGCAGAAGCTACTGAGGGCCACAGGCAGTGACAGGGGCACGTTGTGACTTCCCCTTATGTGTGCCAGCAGAGAGTGTGAATGTCCATGGGCAATGTCCTGTGGCACCATCAGTCTGTTCTCTGGCTCTGCTGAAGGGACTATTTTAATGCCAGCCCATGGTAGGTGACATACAGTCTTTCTGGGGTGGCCTGGGAGAACAGAGCCAGGCTAATACAGGGGAAAAAACCAAACAACCCTTACCTGCTTTTTCCCAGCCATCTCAATTGGCTTGAGCTGAAGAAACAAAACTAACCCAGCCCCAAACACTCCCCTCAACATTTTATATAGGCCATCTCTACCCCTAAGTAGTCCTCACTGGTGACCCAAAGCAGTGGTGCCTCTGGTAGAGATCAATCCTTCAGGGCAAGGGCTTGAGCTCATGCTTGGTGCTTAGTACACCTTTCCAAAGCTGTCATTTTTCATGTATTTTTTTCATTGTTCATTCAGTGAGGAAGTTTTGGGGAAAAGGGACAAACTTAGTGTCCAGGCAAACGTGGGCATCTTTGAAAGACTTTTATTCATCTGGTTTTTACCTCAATTCACTCAAATGAGCTTTTAAGTGAAGAATTTCAATTCCCTCACTCTCCCTTCTTTTAAAAAACAAAAAAAAAGGGATTTTTTTTTTTTGTAAAATGGTGCTGAGTATTGTTCATCTTTCTTCCATTGGAGGATTTCCTTTCTTCAGAAAGCTTCATTCTTCCCCTTGAACATACTCAATTCCAAAATGTATCAATAATTGGAAAGTTTTCTCCCCCAGCCCCCATATTTTTCAGGCATTTGAATCTCCTGCAGAGTAGAGCATCTTTTGACCATGAAACTCAGTGGGGTTTTATTTTGGCAGTGTTAGTTATGTTA